CAAAATTTCAAAAACAGAATGCAGGTCTTGTATTAATTTATGTGAAAATTGAGTTTTGACGACCATGTCGTCTACATAGCATTCTACTTTTCTGCCAATTAGTGGCGCAAACAACTTATTTACAAGCCTTTGAAATGTTGCCCCTGCGTTTTTCAACCCGAAGGGCATAACCTTGTGACAGTATAGACCGAACTCCGTGATGAAGGCAATCTTTTCTTCTTCTGTCGAATCCATCTTGATTTGGTTATAGCCCGAATAGGCGTCCAAGAAACTTAGCAACTCGTGCCATGAGGTCGCGTCCACCAAGCGGTCAATTCTGGGCAGTGGGAAGCAGTCTTTTGGGCAAGCCCGGTTTAGGTTGGTGTAGTCGACGCACATGCACCACTTGTCGTTGGCCTTCTTTACCAGGACGAGGTTGGCTACCCAAATAGGGTAGTGGACTTCTCTTATGAAGTCAGCTGCGAGGAGCTTCTCGACCTCCTCGTCGACCGCTTTCCACCACTCCGGGGCTAGGTTGCGTTTGTTCTGTCTAATGGGCCTAACTACAAGATCAGTATTCAGCTTGTGAGTCATAAGGTCGGGGTCTATACCGGACATCTCTGCCGCAGACCATGCAAAAATATCTAAATTTTGAAGTAAGAAGCTTACCAGTTCGGATCGTAGAGGTTCCTGGACGGAAGCACCGATCTGAAGCATCCGAGTTGGGTCGGCTGCTGAGGTCGGGACTGCGACTGTTTCTTCCATGGGTGCAGCTCGTTCTTTGCCTTGCTCCGTAGGCCGCTCCAGTTCGAGGTCGTCGACCACCTTGGTCTTTCCCACGGACAGCGCCAAATGATGTAGCGCGATCCGGTCACTCCTATTTGGCACTCGCGTGGCTCCTGGAAGGTACTTGAGATGAAGAAGAAGAAGAATCCCCGGGGAGTTTACCTGGTGGGGATACTCCGATGCTTAAGTTAGTACTCTGTAGGAGAAGCAAAAAGGAGACGAAGGCTAAGATTGCAGATAGCGCGTTCTCACTATACTCGAGAGATTAAAGGTCTCAAGAAGAAGTTTCTCTTCTGCCCTGAGGGCTTTTATAGGGGCACTCACGTCAGGTCGGGCATAACCGCCACTGGGCTTCTCCCGCAGCCGTTACCTGCTAGGGCTGCGCAGGTGGCTGTTGTGGCGTACGTCTCGCCCGGGTGAGTGACACATCTCCAAAGTGGTAGGCACGCCCTTGCCTGCTGAGAGATATGGACGCAGACTGCCGAAAGGACTGGGACTGCACTGTTAGTAAGGGATATGGCGCAGTCTGACCGATACGGTCTGTCAGTCAGAAGCTTCCTGAGGGACGCTCATGCAGCTCATTCGCGAGCTATTTTGTAGCGAGCTTAGAACACTCCAGGATTATCCTTAGTAGAATTGGTCCTTGGGATGACTTGTCTGCTTGGGAGCTCGGACGAGCTAATAACTTTAGCTCGCGGGCTAAAGTTGCCTCGGAGTATCTCTTCAAAGGTAGCTCGGGGAACCCGGAGCTCGCGTTGTGGCGAGCTTCTCCTTTTGTGAGCTACAATGTAGCGGGCTGCTTTATGGGCCCATCACTTTGTCGCACTAGGCTACAATGCTGAGTTGTCGCTCGTGTTGAGTCAACGTCCATGTGTCACTATTTCATAGGTTGGGTCAAATCGTCCTCCATCACAAACCAATAAGAATATGAACCAATTTATTTTGGATTGGCCCAATCCAATAATTATAATAGACCATCCAAATCCGATTTGATAAGGTTTGGATCAGATTGGATCCAAACCAAAGCCGATCGTTTGACACCCCTACTTCATGGCCTTCACCTCTCTCTCTTTCTACATCGAGCGCCCTATTTATTCAGCGAGAGCGCTCACTCTCCCTCCCTCTCTTTCTCCCTCGATCGTCGTGTTTCTTCTCTGCCCCCCCCCCCCTATGTTTCTTCTGCATCGAAGCCTTCTATCGCTTCTAGTGGTGGCAATGCTGTTTTGTGCTCACTCTCTCCCTCTCTTTTTCCTTCAACCAATTTCTTTCAAAATGTGTCAATCCAATACCTACTATTAACCAATTGTTAAATGGCAATTGAAAAAGGCATAAATGCCTTTCGAGTGTTATCTAATTTTTTTTATAAACCATCCAAACGTTGATAAAAAATTAACAGTCCTAAATCCTTGCCTCTTTTATTCCTGATTAGTACCATGTACTTTGTGTCTAGTGTTACTTTGGTCCCCAAACTTTATAATGTGACAATTCAATACTCGAACTTTCAGAATGTGTCAATCCAGTACCTGTCATTAATCAGCTGTTAAGTGGTATTTGAAAAGCACAAATGCCCTTCAAGTGTCATCTAATTTTCTTTATCAATCATCCAAATACCCTTCTCCAGAAAGAAATCTGAACCATCTTGTGAGAATTTGTCTTCAATCTCCAATGGGCGCATGACCCTTTGGAGGTTAAAATCAGTTTTAATTGCTCTTGAAGGTGCTTGTTATTCGGTTTAGGGAATGTACTATGATATAGGAGTTGTAGAGTTTGGGCTATTATTACTCTGTTGATGGCCAGCAGGAGTTGTAGAGTTTGGGCTATTATTTGAATCCCCCTTTTGTCACTGAGAAGCTGGTCAAGAAATAGTTAAACGTGAACTACCAAATTAGGTGAGAACAAATAAACTAAAGGTAAAAGACTTAAGTCTCCCTTACACGTTTCTCTTAAGTACTGAAACCTCTTCTTTCTTTTCACATTTCAAAATGGACGAACTAAAAAAGTTTAATATACCCTTAGTTGACAAACAGAGCTTTAAGACTCTTTCAAGGCTAACCCCAACACACCTTCCTAACATATTTCCATGAGGGCGCTGATGCTGTCTTCTACGTTACCTGTGGACAAGGTGTCATGACCCTTCTGGACCTGCGGCATGGCATGACAACAGAGGGAGTCCTTCAAGAGGAGATCTAAAACAGATTCCGGTAGGGACTTCAGTCTACTTTATCAAGAACGACTATACCTTGAGGAGCTCTTTATCACAAAGCTTCTTCTAACCATGCATACTCCTGGCCATTTCGAGGCATTCTTCGGCCGCCCAGGAGGCGAAAATCAAAATCTTAAATCATTTTATAGAGCATTCAGCAGCTTGAAGAGGTTGCTTGGGCGACAAAACAAAACAAGGGTGTTAATGTGTCATCATCAAAAGCCTCCGAAGAACAACAATCAAAGCCCTGAGCCAAGTTAAAGAAAATACAGCGCAATAGATTGAAGTCAGAATGGATGGGTGACCATGAGAGGCCGAACCTTGTATATTTATAATAATAGTAATCATGATTACAATAGGAGTCTTAAGAGTTTTAGATAGAGTACAACATTAGATGATAATTAGGAATAATAAAGATGAGAGAAGATTAGGATCAGGAGAGAGGGAGAGAATCATATCAGATTCGAACTCTCTAACATGCCCTCTTAAGTGAAGTGTCTGGGAAGGACATGAAGCTTAAACTGAAGAGAAGCAAAGCGAGCTCCACTAAGGTGGCATTTGATTCCACTTTTTACACGTCCGAATTTGAAAAAGTTGCTTTTCAAACACCACCTTTGTTTGGTGTTCACTACAGGATTCTTAGGTGGCAATCCAAACCGCCGGCTTAGGTGTTAAATGACCGCCGCCTTAGGTGTTGTTTGTGGCTAAACCGGCGGTTCCATGACCGCCAGCTTAGATTTCTTTTTTTTTTCATTTTTATTTATACAATTATACCATGTTAATTCTGACATTTTGTGATATCTGAATTGTTTATTGATTTGGCATTTTCATACCTATTTAATACAGAAAAACCATTTGATAAAAATCAATTTAAAATGAAATCTATTAATTCAAAGATTATATATTAAAGTATCCCAAGACATTGTTCAAATACAATATCCAAATCGAATTATAACCAGTACAAGAACTTTAAAAAAAATAATCAAATTCTTTAATAATGCAGCACATCTTCCAATGCAAATCCACTTAACATATTGGTTGAATCTACAAATCAAAAGATATAAATATTAGAATTATATTCAAGTATTTTAACTATAAAGATAGGAATAGTAACTAAAATTTACATGGGCCGAATTCTAAGCAATTAATTGGAATATCAAAAGTAATTCAAAATATTCCGTAGCATCCATAAAGGCATACTAGCAATGAACAGAAAATGAAGCAGCTAGTTTAGAAGGTTCAAAAGTAAAAGAAAGAAAAACAAAGGGATTTTTGTCATAGCCTGTAGCTGAAAACATCCTTGTTCAGATCTAGGTATAAACCTCCTTTTTTTCTTAAGCATCTTTTGTTGCTTCAGAACTTCTTCAATGTCAAAGACAGATAACAAATGGTATCATGCAACTTATCAGCAGGTTCTCCACAGCCACATTATTTGTTTCAAAGCACAAGGATTTAAAGACATGATCAATGCAATAACAGATGAACGAAAACTAATCAAAGGTGGGAGCAAGAAGTTGCTCCAAATACCAATATAAAAGTAATGGAAGTCTTTAAGTCTGCAGCTTCCAGATTTATGAATTCCAGAATAAGATTGGTCGGCCACCATAACTAACCAAAAAAAAAAAAAAAAAACTAATGGCCACCATAAGAAACTATTTGGGATTACCTACATAGTCGCCTGAGATCCTCTCAATGCAGGAGACATCTTCAATCTGAGCTAGATTGAGCTCCATCTCAAGATCTCCTGACATGGTCTAAAAATTGCTCCCAATTATTAAAAGTTTTGATCTAATTTAGGTGGGTCCTACAATTTCTCATAAATTCAATACTAATGGAATATTTGACAAAAGAATGCTGATCAAAAAAAAAAATTGAAAAAGGATTAACATTCACTAGCAGCAAAAATACTGCTATTAGCACTAGAATTATAAGATCAATGTTTAAATAACTCATTAGATCAAGATCAAATAAGAGTAAAATTAACTATAATACTATTTTTATCATACAGGGGCAGACATACTACCAGGCGACCACATAGATAATCGAATGTGAATCAAGAACCTCCAAAGTTCTGATTTAAAACATAATGCAAGCATTGATCAATTGGAATCAGGAACCTCCAAAGTTCTGATTCCAGGACCACAAATCCCATGGTCTTGCAATTATCTCCCCTGCTTTATGGTACTAACAAGCTTTTTTCATGTATTATATAATAATACCCAGGTGGTAAGTTGCTTGGCCCACACCCAAACTCATGCAAGCATGATACTCTCTTTTGGGTTTGCATGATTCAAAAAACTAAAAGCAATAGGCTATAGAATACCACCAAATGGGTTGCATGGTTACAAAATGTCACTTTTTTTCTTATGGCCAACCAAATGGTTCATAATCAAATGATAGAAAGTACTATGAGCAATAATAGAAAGAGCAAATTTTTCACCTCCTCTCTCCTGTTGGATCCAATATGACCAAACTGAATGTGATCTGACCTTTTGCTACCTCCCCTAGTTAGTCCTATATGACCAAAACACTTAATTCACTTTTGAGTAAATGCAACCCAACTAGAGTTTACTGTAATCTACACTCCTAAGTCAACTCAAGAGTGAATAAATGAGCCAATAATTCTAATAAGGAAGATGGGACAAAAACTAGGGTAAATGGATATATTATATATCATATATGAGCTACAGGCAAACGCCAAAAAAGAAACCTAAACCGGCTCCCAACCCAAATAAAAGAACAAATCCTAAACTCCAAACACCAATCACAAGCACTCTGTATCAAACATATGATCCCTAAAAGTTGGTTTCAAATTGTAGATTAAGACATGCCAACAAACAAAGTAGTAGGCCACATCTAGCATTTCATTGACCACCATTTCTTACTATAATCCAGCAATTAGTCATCAATAGAAGGCCAAAACTATAAATTATGTCTTAATCCTGCTTGATTATGTATAGAACAGGATGAAAATATCTCTATCCATCTATAGTATAGAATGGTCAGACCCAAAATTCTAAAATATCTTTGAAAAATGAACACATATAAAAGTTCAATAATTAAACTAAACTACGTGAATGAGAAGAAAAAAGAACAATTCTCATATGAAGAAATTTTAGAATGGTAGGATTCTCAAATATCTTTAGGAAGAAATAAGTTAAATAAGCATGTGAATACAAAGAACTAGAAAGAAATATAGAAACAATGTATCTTGAGATGCTGTAATTAAGAACCCAATAACAAGAACGAAGCTCAAGGGAAAGGCCTCGATTACATCCTCAAAGGCTCAAAATTAGAAGATTACCTAAAGAAACCTCTTAATACCGTCTCATTTGAATTAGGACAAATTGAAATGTAAATTATCCTCATATAAATTCAAAAAAAAAGGAAAAGAAAAAATCTTAGATGAACCAGGATTACTTAAAAAAGTAAGCTATCCTCTTACAGTAATAGATTAAAAAATAAGTCAACCAAAATTTATCTAGAAAAGAAAAGAACTACAATCATATCTTAAGAAAGGATTTGAGTTGGAAAATCGTTTCTTCCCACTTAATTTTCTCCTCATTCTATAAAGTAGAAGAATTTACAACTCTTTCCCTTTACAAGAAGGGTTTAACATAATTGCAGAGTTTCTTCCAAAGAAGTCAGGTCTACGACACTACTAAAGAAAGCTTAAGAGGAAACAATAACAACATATCTCTTACATCTTAATATTTTTGTTGATGATTTCACAAGGGTAAACATGGGAATGAAGATCCCACCACCACCAACACCCCCACACTCCCAAAAGCTACTCCAAAGAAGTCAATAATTGTATCCAAGAAACCCTGCTAAACAAATTTCATATCCTGTAAATACATATCAAAATCAGATCGTTAACACGCAGTTGGAGCAAAACGAAAAAAAAAAAAATGTTTACATACGTCTGGGTGAACATACCTCTTGTGCTTGCTCTTAAGAATCGTTGACGATGAAGGCAGTGATGATATTTTGAGAGAGAGAGAGAATGAGAGTGAGTGAGTGTGTGTGTGTGAGAGAGAGAGAGAGATCTTACTTTCACCACTGCAACTGGTTTTCTGCTATGGAGAGAACCCTTTTTCGTTAGAATTTTGTCGAAAGTGGGAATTAGAAGAACGAGGGAGTTTTGGCTTTTGGACCTCTCAGCGTTAAGTTATTTAGACCGGTTCAATTTAAAAAGCGTTGTTTCAGTTCTAAAGACCGCGTGGGAATTAGCAGCACGCGGGAGTTTTGGCTTTTGGATCTCTCAGCATCGGGTTATTTAGACCGGTTCAGTTTAAAAAGTGACGTTTCAGTTCTAAAGACCGCCGCCCAATTTTTATTCTTCTTTATTTTAATTTTCTAGGCGGCGGTCCTTGAAAGAACGCCACCTCAGATCTTTCTATAGCAGCAACCTTAAAGACCGCCAGCTTGAAACCGCCGGATCAGGTCGTTTTTCTTGTAGTGGTTTGCATCTTAAATAGGGTTTGAAAAACTTTTTCAAATCTAAAATTTTTAGACTCAGGCCCGCCACTTAACATGCTCAGATGTGTTTCAAACATGGCCTAAAGTCAAAAATACCTCTCCCCATTCAACATCTCTCTCTCATCTTCATACAACTCTCTCTCTCTCCCCATCCTATCTGAAGGGATGGGATATCCATCTCATGGACGTCCAAATCTTGCGGAAAAGATAGGGTGAATTTCAAAAATTTCTCCCATCTTTGCAAGGAATCGAATTCCCTATTTCAGAAAACATATTTTCAATGATCAATCTTGAATCAAAAACCAAATCAGATCTAAACCAAAAGAAGTAGAAGGAGAATATACCTGATACAGAGAATCAATATCTCCCAATGGAGGTGTTCACGCCCAAGGAAGGATCCAAAATCTGCTCCCACTGAAGATGGCGCAGTGCAGGATGGAGCAGAATCAGCAATGTTCTTCCAAAAGAATTTGACCCTTCGCAAGAATCAACTGGATGGCTTGTGAGTACAGCTCCAACCAA